GTGGAAGTGGGCGCCGTGTGCCTCCAGGTGGGAGTGTAAACTGGTCAGCAGGCGACCTTGTCAGAGTTGTCACCCATTCGGCCCAGCAATTCCACATCTTGCAAGCTGTCCTGGTGAAATTTTGCACATGTGCGTAGAGTTGAAGGTACTCGGATATTCGTGCGGCACCGCTGATGACAACAGCAAAAGCCTAGATGCGGCCTGAGGTCCCTCACGGGAAATGATGGAGTGTCCCTGTGAAAGGGAGGCAGGTTCAGGGGGAAGTGCCCGAGCCACAGAAGAAAACAATACATTATGTCTCCCTTTCTATCAAACAAATTAAAAATGCAAGCTCCTATCTGTCATGCAGGGATATTCATATGTAATCACCTTGTTAAAATTGTAAAATACACATAAAATCTACCATCTTAACCATTTTTAATGCACAGTTCAGTGGCCTAAGCACATTGACAATGTTGTACAACCCTTGCCACCATCCATCCCCAGACCTTTCCCTCTTCCCAAACTGAAACTCTGTCCCTGTTAAACACTATCCCCCTCCCCCAGCCCCTGGCGCCCACCATCCCACTTTCTGTCTCGATGATTTTGACCCTCCAGGGACCTCATATATGCGGAAGTATTTGTCTTATGCCAGAATTTCCTTCCTTTTTATGGCTGAGTAATATTCCATGGTGCAGGTAGACCATCTTTGGTGTATCCATTGGTCCATCAATGGACACTTGGGTTGTTTCCACCTCTGGGCTGTTGTGAATAATGCTGCTGTGAACGTAGGTGTGCAAGTAACTCTCTGAGACCCTGCTTTCGCTTCTTTTGGGGAGAGACCCAGAAGTGAGATTGCTGGATTATGTGGTGATTCTGTTTAATTTGGGGAGGAAATGCAAATGCATTTTTAAAAAAGGATCAGAGGTCACTCACCGCAGCAAGGGTGGGCCCGGGGGTGGAGACATGAGAGATGAGCCTTCAGAACTTTGAAATCATTTCAGCCATTTTTACTTTTTATGTCAGCAATTGGTTTCTATTTGGGTAATTTTTCCATTTTATAATTTATTTTTATTTTTTAAAAGTTCTTAATAATTATTTTAAGTTCTTAGTTATTTTTTAAATTTATTTTTTAAAGATTCTTAAACTTTTTAATTTTATTTTTTAAAGCTCTCAGTTTATTAATTTATTTTAAATTCCTAGTTTATTAACTTTTATTTGCATATTATTTTAAAGTTCTTAGTCAGTTGGTTAATTCATTTTCTAAGGTGGTAATTAAGTGGGAAAGAGTGTGACGGAACAGCCCTGCCAGGGCCCTGCCCCAGGCCTGCTGAACGAGAAGCTGGGGGTCCGAGGGGGTAGGATCCAGCTGCCCAGGCAGCACTAAGGGCTGATGACCGTCCAGAGGGTGGCAGCAATGCCTTGTCCACTTCTGCCCTCTCCCTTGCGCGCGCACACGCGCTCTCTGTAATTCATTTATTCATTAATCCATTGATTCAAGCTTCCAGAGGCCCCATGTCCTTGTGGACCAGGCCCTGGGCAGTTTCTGCTGAGTGACAGGAATGCCAGCTGACTCCTGCCCTCCTCCCCATCCTGTGACCGGTGGGAGAGGCCCCTGCGCTCGGCTCCCCCAGGACTGGACCTGCCTGGCCCTGTCCGCCCCAGACCCCTCCCGTGTTCTGGTTTCACAGACAAGCAAACAGTCTCCACCAACCTCCGGTGCTCTGCCCAGAGAGCTGGGTCTTAGAAATTGAGGTAGAAAGGTCCACTTGTTTCCAAAAACATTTCCTGACTGCCTGGGCTGTGCCCTGGGGGCCCCAAAGAATAAGACACCGTCACTGCATTCCAGGAACTGATAGTGACTTCTGAGCAGAGTCCTCAGGGATGAATAGGAGCTGGCCAGGGAGCCAAGGAGGGGAAGGGTGCCCTGGGTAGCATCACTTTCTCATTCCATCGCCAGCACCTGCGATGTGGGGCCTGCCTGTCAGATTCCAGCCCAGGGGCTCAGGGAGCCAGATAGAGGGACAAAGGACACAGCCCTGAGGGGCCAAGGCCAGGCTGACCATGAGAGCCTGAAACCGGATGAGGACAGGCCTCCTGCCTCCCCCATTGGGCCTGTTGCTTTTCCCGGCTGCCGCTGCAAGGACATGGATGGAGGGCAGACCTGAGTCACAAGACGTAGCCAATGGGCCATGTCAGGCTCAAGTCCGGTGGCATCAGACCCCCTCTCAGGTGCTGTGACTCTAAACAGCCTGGGCCTCTCACCTTCCCAGGCTCAGGGGCCACAGGGTCCCAGCAGTTATGCAGCCGGGGGGAGCCAGCCTAAGGACAGGCCGTGGAAATCTGAGAGGGCTTTCTGGAGGAGGAGAGAGGTGAGCAGGGGACCCCTCCCCCGGGCCGTGCCTGAACACGGCGGCCCGCAGGGGGAGGAGGGTATGGAGCCCCAGGCATGGAGGCCGTGACGCACAGCTTCCTCGGGCTGCCGTTTGCTGGGCTGGTTGGGCAACAGGCTGCGGGGCTGGGCTTGGCCTGTCACCGTCATCGAAGTGGAGATGACCTCATGCAGGGAGTTTCGAAGAGGCGCCCTCATTCTGCCCCAGCCCCCAACATCCTCACCCAGCTGGATGGGGCGGCTGGCCAGTGTCCCTGGCCGGATGTTTGGGGACAGTCTCTGCCTGCAGTGGGGTCCCCACAGTAGGGCTCCATGGGAATCCCGGATGTGGCCCTCAAATAAATATTAGTAAGCTGGGCTCTGACTGACGCTGCCTGACGCCACTGGCATGAGGCAAAGGCCAGCGCGGCCCCCTGCCCGTTCTGAGAAGCGGCCAGCAAATGTCCCCAGCCCAGAGCCCGCTCCCCGCTCGGGTTGGGGGGTGGCTACCTCCTGTACCCAGGCCTCGTGTGCGGGAGAAGGGATTTGAATCCTACTGGCTGGCTGTGTGACGTCAGATGAGTTACTTAACTTCTCTGAGTCCCTGCAAATCCAAGAAAGCAACCCCACCAGCCCTCACCTTGTGGGGTGACTGGGAGGGAGAAGTGAGGCCAGTGTCCCGCTGCCCAGAGGAGCCTCTTGCCCGGGTCTCCTTGCCCGGCAGTCCAGGACCCACTAAGGACAGCATGGGCTCTCCGGTGGCAGGGCGCCTGGGGGAGGGACAGCCAGCTGCCTCACAGTCTGTATGCTGGAGTCCCCTCGACCTGTCAAGGGCTGGCCAGCTCTGTTGGGATGCCCGTAGTGATGGGGAACTCACCCCCTTTCAAGTCTGCCCTGTGTTGTCTTGAGGGGAAATCTGTTTCCCCCACCCAGCCTGTGCCTGCTGCCCCCTCGGGCTCCCTCCCTCAGCCCACAGGCCTGCAGATCCAGCTCCGGGCAAGAACACTGACCAGCAGTCCCTACATTGGTCCAGTCCTCCCTCCCGCAGGCCAAGGTCCTGGGCACCATCTCTACCCTTTCAGCCGCCCTGCCCTTTCTCTCCCCGGCGGGTCCCTTGGCCACACTTGTGGGGACCAGTGGGCAGCTGCCACCTAGATGCCAGTTGCACAGGTCTGGCCCAGGCCCCTCCTCTGAGCCACTGGCGCCCCTTGTTCCTCACAGAGACCTTGAAGGGCCAGCGGTCTGGACTGCTCTCTGAGAGGTTAGGGGCCCTGCCCAAGGCCACACAGCCAGGGCAGTGGGGCACGTTGGTTCCAGGGCCAGCTCCACAGGCTGGACCCAGAAGGTCCTGTGCTGGGTTTTAGGCTCTGCTCTCTCTGTCTTGAACTTTGTAATACTTTCAGAACCAGGGGACCTTCATTTTCATCTTGCGTCAGCTCTGCAAATTATGAGGCTGGGGTTGGTTCTCACTACCCGCATGGAACTTGGGCCCTTCCTTGCCCTTTTTCCAGCACCTGACCAGGCCACAGCTGGGGGCGGCTGGGGTGGGGGGGGGGGGGGTCATACTGGATGATGGGGGCCCTAGAGCTGCTGTGGCCCTCAGAGATCCCCTGGCCGGCTGCACCCCCACCCCTGGGAACCCCAGAGCAGCCAGCGATCACTTCCTGCTCCTATTAAACCCTTTAAAGGAAGAGGGTAAATAAAAAACGCCAGCCCGCGCTGCTGGGAGGATGACTCAGCCGCCCCCGCCGCCCCTCGCCCCGCCAGGCGGACCCTCCCGCACCAAGCGCCCTGCGCCCCCTCGGCTCCCGGGGCCTCGCGCCGCCGGTCAGGCCCGGCCGCGGTCAGAGTCGCCCCCCAGCCCCGCGCCCCCGTCGGACGTCACGAGGGCCCAGGGAGGACAGGCCCCCAGGAAGGGAGGCGGGAGCGGCCTCCTCCCCACACATCACTGAGCACCACGGGGTGCCGTCCTAGCACTTTCCGTGTGTCACCTAATCTAACGAAAGTGTTACTGTCCCCATTTGATAGAAAATTGAGGTTCAGAACACCTGTTCTCCTGCCGCCAAGAAGGTCCTTCCAGGCAGGCCGGCGGGTGGCAGGCTGGGAGATCGGGCATGCTGGGGCAGGACCACCCGAGGGTCTCCCGGGGAAGGGCCCTGGGGCGTGGAAGAACCAACGCCCCGCGATCTCCTCCTGCCCACCAGCCTGGAGCGGCAGGGCTGCCATCGGGGCGCCCGGAGAGGGGCGTCTGCGCCCTGCCGGCTCCCCGCCCTGGGCCAGCCGGGCTGCGGGCTGTCCCGGGGCTCCCGGGCGGTGAGTCACTGCGGGCAGGGCGGCCGCAGCGCATTCCTCCGCAAGGCCGGCGTCCGGGGTGGGGTGGAGACCAAGAGTCACCCCACGGGGCTGGGGCGCCGGGGTGCCAGGGGAGCCGGGGCGCCAGGGGAACAGGGGCGCGCGGGCCGCAGCCACCGAGGAGGGGGCGACCTCGTGCAGGCGACGGGCGCTCAGGGGCGCCCGCTGGAGAGGGGGCACAGGAGCGGGGGTGCGGGCTGAAGGTTAGGGGCGTGGTCTGGAGGGGGCGTGCCCGTGCGGGGCGGGGTCTCGAGTGGGCGGGGTGAGGGCGGGGTCGTTATAAAGGCCGCGCCGGGGCCGCCAGAGCGCATTGCCGGCGTCGCAGCTGCCCGTGCGCCTAGATCTGTGCCCGCCACCTGCTGCCATGAAGACCCCCGGCGAGGTGCTGCGCGAGGGCGAGCTGGAGAAGCGCAGCGACAGCCTCTTCCAGGTGTGGAAGAAGAAGCGCGGCGTGCTCACCCCCGACCGCCTGAGCCTGTTCCCCGCCGGCCCCGGCGCGCGCCCCAAGGAGCTGCGCTTCCACTCCATCCTCAAGGTGGACTGCGTGGAGCGCACGGGCAAGTACGTCTACTTCACTATCGTCACCACCGACCGCAAGGAGATCGACTTCCGCTGCGCGGGCGAGAGCTGCTGGAACGCGGCCATCACTCTGGCGCTCATCGACTTCCAGAACCGCCGCGCCCTGGAGGACTTCCACAGCCGCCAGCAGCGCGAGGCGACTGCCGAGCAGCCCGGGGCCCGGACCGCCCGCGTGCCCTGAGCGCCACCCGGTGAGTGCCGGCCGCCGAGAGCGCCCTCCGCGCCCCCTGCCAGCCCCGACGCCCCGTGCCAACCCTGGACGTCCCGAGCGCCCTCCGCGCCCCCTGTCCGTCTCCAACACCCTCGGGGCCGCCTGCCCGTCCTGCCCGTCCCGAGCGCCCCGGGCCGCGATCCACCAGCTGGGACGCGGTCCTTGGGGAAAGACAGTTTTTACTGCTGACGTCCGGGGGAGGCCCTGTTTCATCTAGGCGATACTTTCGAGAGGGGACCGGGTGCGGGGTGTCTGGGACGCTCGGAAGGAGCGTCGCTTGCACTTCTCTCATCGGGGTCTTGGGGGACCCACAGGCTGGAACCCCGCCCGCTCTGCCTCGGGCTTGGGCACAGCTCCCTGACCACCTCCTCTCCCCACAGGAGCTATACACTGGAGGAGTCGAGCCGGATGCGGGGCGGCGCTGGCAGGAGCCCAGGGGCTCCCCTCCACCGCGGGGGGCCCGGTGGGCTCCCTCCCACTGACCACGGCGAGGACGGAGGCCGTGTCCCTGCCCCGCAGAGGGAGCCTTCCCATGCAGACCTGTAGAGTTTCGCCCCGCTGCGCGGGCACCTTAAATTATTAGATTATCTATGTATTTATTATGATGGTTATTAGTCGTCAAACCATCTGTCTTAATATTTTGTTTTTGCATCGATGTGTCCATTCCAAATAAATCGCTTAAGCTGTCTTTCTACCAGCTTCGTGTGATGCTGTGAGATTCCTGTAGGAGCTGGGGGACCCTCGCTCAGTGCGTGTGGAGGGGGAGCCACTCCGAAACGGAAGGGCAAGGGAGCTCCCTTTGAATGAACACAGTGTCATCAGCCGGGCGTCCACACCCTCCTCGCTGAGCAGCCTCTCCAGAGGCCGGGAAGTGCCCTGGGTTTGGCCCTGGCTGACTTCCGCTCCTGGGAGAGGCCTGGGAGGGCAGGGCGGGTGGCAGGGCTTGCTGCAGGAGGTCACTGACAAACTGCCCCACCGAGGTCAGTGCACTCCTCCCGTCTGAGCTGCTCCTGAATCATTCGGGGTGCTGGGCCCCAGCTGCCCCTTCCCATCCACACGCCCCCTGCCCAGCCCCGCTGCCCAGCCGTTGCCCTCTGGCTGGCTGCCTGCCCTGCCGCTCCTCTTGACCCCACCGGGGCTGAGCCATGGCCGCTCCAGGCGGTCCAGTTGCCAGGCCCCGCTGGCCAGTGCCCGCGGTGTTGCTTCTGGTGAATGGGGGGAGAGTCCTGCGCAATTTCCTACGGTTTGGCAGGAGGCTGAGAACCCTCAGTGTCCAGGGGCTGGCCCAAGACTGTGCCTTTGGGTGGGGAGGTCAGAAGGACCCAACAAGCCAGCAACTTCCGTCCTCCCTTCCTGGCTGCCTCCTCAGTAAAACGGGGGGTGGCCCGAGACAGTGTGTGTCCAACGTTGCCCGGTCAGGGGCCCTTCATTTTGGGGACCTTTGTGGCTGGAGGGCTGCTCAGTGTGGGAGGCAGAGGCGAGAGGAGTGAAGCATCAAAATTGGGGTCCAATGTCAGTCGTTTGCCCTTGATCAGGGGAGAGCCCTCACAGGCCTCCTAGTGGGGTCAAAGCGGTCAGACTGAGGCAGAGGCTGTCCCTTTGCCGAGAGGCCTGGGTTCAGAGAGGAACTCTCCCTTGCAGCGCATTTTCTCCTCAGCGGTGCTGTCTGTGAAGCCCGTGTGTAGACGGGGAGGGGCTCCTCCAGAGAGGAGAAAAGACCAGCCCCAGGACCCGCACTCACCCCAGGGTGGCCCCCTACCCCGCCCCACCTTGGAGACCTCTCTCGCCAGACCCTCCTCTGGATGAGTCACCCCATTCCTGGTGGGGTCCAAGTGGAGGTGGGGTCTGGCCTGAGTTCTTGGGCTGCAAGGGTGATGGACCCTGGGCTCCCTGAGCCCCTTCTGGAGTGGGGACCATGGAATTCAGAGGTTGGGGGTTCCGAGTTTTAATAGCTGCTTCGAAAGGCAGCCTATGGGGGAGGGGGTGGCCTTCAGCGTCTCAGGAGCCTTTACAGACCCTGATGAGGTTGTGCTGTCCACACTGGTCATCCGTCACAGCAGCTGCTGGGCTCTCTGTGCCCTGTGCCCTTCTCCGTAGAGCCCAGGCTGGGAGGCAGGAGCTGGCGAATGCTCCCTGGTTCTTGGGACCTGCTGCCTGGGTCTCCCCGCTGGGCTCCCCAACACAGAGCGAGGGCCCTTTCCCTAGATGTCTCCCCAGCCTCCAGCTCCTTATCTTCTCCAAGGCCCCCGTTTCTGTTTGATCGGGAGCGACGGCCAGAGTCAATGAGGGTGTGTGGGCCGGGGACCAGTGTTGGCGGCGGGGGGCAGAGAGCTCCCCGTCTCTGGGAATGTGAGCAGAGCCGTCTAGGCGGCAGGGAGGCCTCCTCACTGGCCACGGTGACGGACTCAGGGCAGGGCCTGCCTCCCACCGGGAGGAATTTGGGTAATTCTGTCCTTCCCGAAGCTCTGGGGTCCGGCTCCAGGTGCCTTTCTCCAGGAAGCCCTCAAGCATTCAAGGCCCCATCCCTCACCTCCAGGCGCCCTGCCTGACCAGATGCAGGCGGGCCCCACGTGGGAGCCTGCAGAAATCAGGCCGGAAGAGGTCCCAAATGAGTTTATTGCCAGTCTGCGCCCCAGGGGCTGTGGTCACCGGACTTTGTCCATCTTCTGAAGCATAGGCTGCCTCCAGAGGAAAAGGAGGACAAGGAAGTTGACAGTGAACTGCACGTGGCCAAAGATAGGGACGCCGAAGCTGCGGTACAGGAGGCCGCCCAGGGTGGGCCCCAGGGTCCGAGTCAGTGGGTGCACAGAGGCGCAGAGGCCCAGCATGGTCCCTGTGGGGCAGGGAGGGGGGTAAGTCAGGCCTGGGCAGGTCCCCCAGCATCACTGCCTCAGCTGCCCACCTTCTGGACACAGCCAGGGCCTCCCCAGGCTGCCTGTCCTCCCTCTCTGCCCCCAGCTCCCTCCACCTGGGCCTGCGGGTTGGACCACCCAGCCATGCAGGGGCCACACTGGGTGCTTCTTGGATGTGGGGCTGAGCCTCCGCTCTGCCCCTGAAAGTTCCCAAGTACAAGAGGAGCCTGGGAACAGGCCCATGGGTCATGGGCCAGGTCTGCTCTCCCAGGCCTGCCAGGGAGATGGCACCCCAGTGTGGGTGCGGGGGGCCTGGGCAGGTGGGCCTGCAAGGAGAGGTCCTTCTGAGCCACTGCGGTGAGGGCTGGGGCTGGGGTGCAAGGTGGGCCAGGACATCCCAGTGTCTCCCCCTACAGCCCCCACCGCCCACATACATCTGGAGGGAACGCCTCCCGCAGGGCTGGGAGGGGCTTCGGGGGCACACCCCCACCTGCCTCTCTGCACCCACTTCTCAGGGTCCCCTAGCTGCCTATGCCCGGTTCCCTGACTGCTCCATCTCCACGCCCCTCTTGTCAGCTGTGCCCTGGGTGGGCGAGCATGTGTGTGGCTACTGTCCACCCTGACGGCATCTGCCCGGAGAGTCGCTGGCTCCAGGGGCTTCAGAAACCCAGGGTTCCGGGAGGTGGAAAGCCAGGGCCGGGTCAGCTGGGAGCCGCCTGGTGAGGCCCCGCCTGGGCTCAGGGCCTGGGGTGGGGGAAATTTAAGAGCAGCCTCTCCCATCGCCCACACGCCCTGCAGACACCGGGGAGCAATTACCGCCCCCTCTGCGGTCTCCGGTTCCCAGGCTGACGCTGGGAACCAGCGCCTGGCTCCTTCGAAGCTGAAGGGTGGTGCTGGGGCACAGTGTGGCGCTAGTGGCCTGGGTCTGCTCCTCCCTCCTCCCTGCCAGACCTGCCCCCATCTCTCCAGGCTCCTCCTCCTAGCCTCGCCAGAGTGCCAGCCCACCACCTCCAGGGAGCCCTCCAAGACCAGCCTGGCCTCCCATACGCCCCCAAGGCAGCCCTGAGAAGAGCTGCTGCCTGTCAGCCGCTCTGTTCCCATCCAGGCCTCTAGACCTCAATGTGCTCCTCTCAGACAAAGAGGTGGATGGACTGAAGGTCGGCCAGGCCCCCTGGGCCTTCTGGGCCTGCTGCTGGGAGGCCTTTGACTTCAACCAGCCCGCAGGAGCCCCCAGCTCAACCCATGCTGAGCCCAGGAGAGAGTGGGGGAAGGAACCTCAGGACCCTCAGGCCCAGGGCCCCCCAGTCTGGATGGGAGACTCCTAGGCCTCAAGAAAGAAAGCTGGGTGCAGAGTGAGGGCTGGGGGTCCATTTGTCCTACTGGGTGGCCTTGGGGCTTCCTAGATTTCACTAGTGGTGTGCATTCATTCACTCACTCCTTCACTCAGGACACTCCCTGTGCCAGCCATGTGCTGGGGAGGGGACTGAAGACCCGCTCCCGCTCCCAGCCTGCCAGGCAAGCCCCTCCCTGTGCCGACCACCCATTTCTGGCACTTTCGCGTCCCCTGCCCGCTGGGCTGTCCTCCTAAGCGGCCTCTGCTGGCCCCGGTCTGACCCACACCTCCACACCTCTGCTCAGCTGGGGCCCAGCCTCGAATGTCACTCTCCCTTTCTAGTGAAATCCTACCCATGCTTCAGAACCCGGTCAGATGCCACCTCCCAGAAGCCCTGCTCCCATCCCTCGGGCCTGGCCCTGGACTGGTCAGCAGGGCCTGGTGCAGGGCTGGTGGGGCCCAGCTCGGCTGGGTGGTGGGCAGAATTCTCACCTGAGGGCTCTTGCGGCCCACCACCCCCATCCCGCCCACTTGGACCCCTGGCCGCCCACCCAACTCAGCACCCACTGGGTCTGCACAGACCCAGCCGGAAATCAGGACAGCTGCTCCACCTGAAACTGCCCAGCACGCTTCCCAGAGAGGAGGGCCGGGGTCTCCCCACGACCCGCCCCGCACCAGGCCTGGGGTACCGCACTCACCCGTGTCGGAGGCCGAGACAGCCTTGGTCAGCATGCTGTCGGTGACCACATTGAGGGCACACAGGCTGAAGACCAGGCCGGGCATCAGCAGGCAGAAGTGGAAGATGTTGGACATCAGCACCTGGCATGGGGCAGGGCAGGTGGTCATGGTGATCAGGAGCCACACGGGACCAGGATGGGAGGGCCATCCCTGAGGTCCCATAGAAGTGGCCCTGGGTGGGGGTGGAGGGGATGAGGGGCCTAGGGGCTCAAGAGCAAACTGGGCATGTACAGAGGGTCAGGGGAGCAACCTGGGACCCTGCTCTCTGGGGGGTCGCCCGAGGGGGAGCTCTCACCATGGCCAGCCCCACCACCATGAAGACCAGCACGCTGGCCCGGAGCAGCGCGGCCTCCGAGAAGTGGCGGCTCAACCGCCCGATGACCAGGCCCTGGATGACCTAGGCGGGGGAGAGCGGGAGGGTGGGGGTGGGTGTGTGTCACACACCTGTGCACACACAAGCACATGCATACCTGCGCACGTGCACGCGCGCACACACACACACCTGCACATGCACGCGCACACACATGCATGCTCGCACACACACACATGCACACCCACACGCACATGCAGGTGCACACACACATGCACATACACGTGCTTGGCCAGCCACTCATAGGTCCAATTTTCACACTCACAAAACGAATCTCATCTCTTATATTTCAGGCGTGATAAACATTTCAGTCCAAGAGGGGCCAGTTAACTGCCAATAAGGGTTGGGGGAGGCCATGGCTTATGGTGCAAAAAACGTTTTTGATCATCTGAAAATGCTCGCAGCGTGGCCCTCACCCCAAGCCCGAGGACCACTATGGCCCTGTGCAGCCCCCTCCCGTGTCACCTGGCTCCCGTGTGCCCCCTCCCCTCCAGCCGCTCTTCCTCAGCCTCCTCTGTAGCCCCTGATCTGGGAGGTGGGACCTGCCCATTTCATGGACAGGAAGACCAGGGTGCAGACAGCAGTGTTGGACTGGGACCTGAGCCCAGTGTCCTGGTGACTCTGTGGGGTCCTCTGCCCAGCTGACTGGACCAAGGCCTGGCCCCTGAAGGCACATCAGCTACTGTCTACAGGGAGGCTATCCCTGCGCTGGGGACTGGACCTCCTCGTCACACCCTAGAAGGCCACTACCCCAGTTACAACTGGGTAAATTGAGGCCCAGAGGGCTGATGCCACTTGCCTAGAGTCCCAGAGCTGGCCAGCGATGGAGCTGGGGTGGAACCCAGGATGGTGGACAGTGAAACCCGGCACCCAGCACCCAGTGCCCGGTCCTGAGCCTGGTCAGGCAAGGTCCCCAGAGGCAGGGGGCAGCCAGACTCCCCGAGGCCGCCTGCTGTTACCCCCATCCTCACTCAGCCCCCCACTCCCAGCTGTGTCCTCCTTGCCCTCCCCGGGGCACAGCCACACAGCTAGTAGCTGGGGTAAGGTTAAGGCGTCCACTCGGTGCTCCCCTTCCTGCCCCCCGCTCCTCTGCATGAGTGTGGGAGGAAGGGCCCTCACCAGGGACACCCAGGGACACCAGGAACGTGACTCAGCGTGCAGGCCCAGCCCTCAGGCCGCTCCCAGGCCAGGGTGAGGCTTCCTATCTGGTCCTCTCACCTCCTCCACCAGGCAGGCAGGAAGTGCCCAGGGCACTGTGGGCTTGGAGCAGCACCCACTGGGCTAGGGGGACGGGCTGGAGGTCAGTGTCCGTGGGGCTGGGGGCACTGGCAGTCAGTGCCTGTGGGGCTGGGGGTGCAGGGGGCAGCGCCTGCGGGGCTGGGGAGCTGGGGGGTCAGTGCCCACGGGGCTGGGGGCACTGGCAGTCAGTGCCTGTGGGGCTGGGGGGCTCGAGGTCAGTGCCTGTGGGGCTGGAGGGGCGGGGGGTCAGTGCCCCTGGCTGGGCTGTGTGTCTGGGGGCGGGCCCAGTCCTGCAGAACAGGATCCACCACTCTGCTCGCTTGGCATAAGGAAACTGTTTCAAACCAGAGCCATGGAAGTCCTTCCTAAAAAAAGATCCTACTTTCAGACCTGCTTTCTCGCAGTTTTGTTTGTTTGTTTACAGGAAGGGCTGTTTGGCAGGTTTCCCTGAGTGTAGCACGCCTGGGAGGAAATCACAGTGCGAGAGATTGAAATCAGCCTCACCATTTCCTACACACACCGGACCAAGACGCTAACGTATCGGTGTTGTCTCCCGATTTTCCTATTAACTTGAAAGAAGCCTAAACTTCCGTGCCTCACAGCTTATCCCACGAAATGAGAATTAACAAACTCGCCAGATGTTCCGCTTTCTCCCAGCCCTCCCTCCCCCTCCTCGCTGGCCCTGCCCCAGCCTCCAGGGCTGCCCTCGCGGTGCCATCGGCCACTCGGAGCAGCGGTTCCGCGCTGGCCCCTCTGACGGCAGCCAGAGCCGGAGGGACCTGGTGGTCCACACTCAGCCTCCCGCGGCCCCGGCCCCCTCCCAGTAAAGCCCGCCCTTCCTGGCCCTTCTGACCACCCCTGGCTGGGTCTTCAGAGCCCAGTCCTCTCCCTTCAGGCCGGCTCAGCCACAGCGGCCACGGGTGTGTCGCCATCCCCAGGGCTCTGCACGTGCCACCCCCCCACTGTGGTTCCCTCATCTCCAGGTCTCTGCTCCAGCGGAGAGCCCCCCACTGACGGCCCCTCTGCCCTTCCAAGGACCCTCAGACTCCTTCGAGTCCTGGTCAGTCACCCCTGACACAGCAGGTGCAGAGGTGGCGGTCTCCCCCCAGTATGACGGAAGTCCCTATCCCCCCGGTGGCTCCAGGCCTGGAGTGTAGACGCAGGCTGAGCGGGGGCTCCCGCAGGAAGGTCTGGGAGGCAGAGGGGTCTGCAAGCCCACCGGGGTGACCGCTGTCCCCTCGCATTAGGACCATCTGGGCTGCCACTCCCCACCAGCTCCCAACCCCAATGCCCCGCCGCGCCACAGGGAGCAGGGGTGGGATGCCATGGCCCTTTTGGGATCAGGCTGCAGTGGCCAGCCCTCGGGGTGGGGATGCTTTGCGGAGGGCGGCAGCAGGGGCGGGACCAGGGGGGAGGCATGGTTCGCCCTCAGTGGGCTGCCTCTCTGGGACCCTCAATGACCAACCCCGGGGGGTTGTGGACACACCTGCGGCCGTGGTGGCTGCAGCATGGTTGGGGCAGGGAGGTGCCAGATGATGGCTTCAGGCCTCTCTCTGCAAACACAAAACCCAGGCCCCAAGCCCCCGGGCCCCCAAGGCCCTGCCCTCCACCGGCAGAGGTTCCAGACACGGCTCCAGGCCTCAGCTGCCCCCACCCCAGCTGGACTTAGGGCCTGGGGGTCCGACACACCGCAGGCTCCCCGCTCCTTCTCCGAAGGTCCTCCTCCCTTCCTCAGATCTCCCCGGGGGCTCCTTCCCCCACTCCTATCCCACCACCACCAGACCGGCTCCCCTGCAGTGTCGGTCACCATCCCTACAGATGCCGGAGGCCCAGCACCTCTCAAGTGGGGTCACCATTGTGGCCGTGGCAGGCCAGAGGCTACCAGTGTCTGTCCCTGAGGGTCTTGAGGGGTCTTCTGGCTTCAGCCGGGCCCAGGGAGTCCAGGACAGAGCTCAGGCTGGCGCCCTGGCCCAGGAGGCTGGGGCAGCCGTGTGCAGCATGGCTCCAGCCGCCCTCACTGTCGGAGTGGTATTATTATTGTTTGTTTCTCCCCACAGGGCGGCCCCTCCCGGCCCACAGCGCAGGGGCCCTCTCCTCCCACATGGTGTGGGGGCCGGCCCTTCCCAGGAGCAGCTATTTTAGCAGGAGGGTCTGGCCAGTCCCCAGCCCAGAGGCAGGGGAGCAGATGGCTTGGAGGTGCCGGGAATGCCGCCCACTTCCGGAGAGGTCGGGAGCCCCTCCCCGGCTCAGGCGGGTCCCAGAATAGCCCCTCCCGCGCTCCGGCTGTCAGGCAGATGTCCCGGGTGACGGCGGCACGTCACCACCTGTCCCCATCGCCCCAGGGCCTGGTCCAGATGCCCAGGAGGAGCTGGGGGTGGCTGGGCTCGGGCAGGGCTCGCCCTGGGCCTGGCAGGCAGGACACCCGCCCCACTTTAAAGTGCTTCTTGGCACCTCCAGACCTGGAGCTGTGAGGGTCAGACATCCCATAATGACAGAGTGACAGCGTCGCTCGATGGGACCCCCCCCAGGGGCTCTGTCACATTAGCTCCTTTACTCTGTCCCACGGCCCATGAAGGGCGCTATGGTTTGACAGATGGGGGCTCGGAGAGCCTGGTAAGCCTGCCCTGGTCACACGGCTGGCAGGATGCAGAGCCCGGCCCTTCTCCTGTAACACGCCCCCCACCACCCAGGAGGGCCTGTTCCCCGCCGGGTCCTGTCCCCTGCTGGTGCCCAGATGCACACTCAGTGGACCACAGACCCCTGACCTGCTTCCAGACGGGAGGCTAAGGCCTCCCAGCCTCCAGTGGGGAGAGCCTCACGCCCCTGAGACGGGCCCCCCTGGCAGATGGGGCAGGGAGGCTGCGGGCACTCAGGCCTGGGGCCGTGCAGTGGCCTGGGAGCAGACCCTGGGAGCCGCGAGCAGGCGGAGAGGGCCAGGCTGCTCAGAGAGGTGGGAGGGGAGCCGGAAGTGAACAGCGCAGAATCTCCAAAAAAGGGGAGCGCACGACAGCACGAGCACTGGTGAGAAACCGAGTCAGGCGGGCATGGGGTCCATCACGTCTGGAGCCCCCCGCCCACCCCGTGGCTTGCCCTGTGCACCTGGCACCCACTCACCATCTGGAGAACCCCGAAGAAGGACATGAGGTAGCCGGACTGGGCGGCCTCCAGCTGGAAGAAGTCCATGCAGATGATGGAGAACATGACCATGAAGAGACCTGGGGGGCAAGGGGGGCATCAGGCTGCTGTTGTCCCGCCCTCTCCTTCCTCCTGTCAGCTGGGGTGGGAGCCCCAGGGTGGCCAATCAGGGTACCAGGGGCCCTGGTCACAGTGACAGGTTCAGGGAGGGGCATGTGACCCCAGTGGGACCAATGAGAGCCTTCCCTGAGATTTTTCTGGATCCCTGGTGGGGGAAGTGTCTCCCCTGTGGGCTGCTGTCGGCTGTGAGCAGGCAGGTGTGGAAGCTACCCATGGACAGGGTGGCCGGAGCCCAAGGCATCCCGGAGGAGGGCAGTCAGGGGACGGGAACCCAGGGCTGATGATGTGGGAGGATTTGGCCCCAGACCTACCGGTGGCCCTTAAAGGCCCTTTTACTGATGTCAGTGATGCGGTTCCAGTCACCGTGCTCCAAAGAGCTGGCCTGGGTCCGAGACGGAGCTGGCCGCGAAGCTCCTTGCCTCAGCCTTGGACCCCGAGACCCCAGGAGCTCCAGCAGCTCCGCAGGGCCGTGGGAGACCTCCCCGCATGGGCGAGGGCTCAGCCCTTCAGCCCACGTGCAGCATCTGAGAGCACCTGAATGGGACCTCATGAGTTTGTTGTCTGGGCTGCTCCCCGAGTTTAAGGACCCCAGAGAGGGGCTCTGAGGGGTCGCTATGGGTACGATGGTGATGGGTGATGCCCTCAGGGTCCCTAGAGATGGCCACTTCACCGGACGGCCAGACACAGGAGTCTGCAGAACACGTGCTCCCCGTCACAGTCACTGCCTTCTCTGCCTCTCAGACTGTCCCCAGAGGACTTGGGAACCTCCGGGCATGACAGCCAGACGGGCTGTAAAGCTGGAGTGAGTGGCCCTGAGGGGCTGCCCGAGAGCAGGAAGGCACCTGCGCCTCCCTTCTTCCTCCTCCTCGCCCGCACGGCCACGTTGGCGAGACCCAGGCCATCTCCCTCTCGGGGACAAATGTCACTGGTTTTGGGGCAGGGCAGAGGGAGGGCGCCACCCTGAGCGTGGACTCCGGTCCCTGCCCAGAACTCTCCACTGCGCCCCGGGCAGTCGGGACTCACCTGAGGGGAAGCCGGAGACCACCTTGACCAGGAACACGGGCAGGACGCCAGGCTGCAGCAGCAGGCGGATGATGGCCTTCAGGTCGAACACGCTGGCCCTGGAGCTGCCTGGGGCACGGAGAGGCCCGTCAGACTACCCAGAGGCCCTCGGCCCAGACCCCGGCCTGCCCGTCCTGGCTGTGGGGGCCAGGCCTGCAGGTGTCACTCCTCCCGGGCCGCAGGGTTGGGGGAGCACAGAGTCCCCCCCCGTCACGCGTGGAGCTCGCAGCAGCTTCTCCTCCCTCTGGCTTCGGCGCCTGCTCCCAGGAAGGCGAGCTGGTAACACTCCTGGTCCCCCTCTCCACTGGCCCCCCTGGGGGGCACGGGCAGCTCACCACATTCCCAGGTCTGGGCCCTCAGGCCTGCTGACCCTGAGGACCCCCGAATTCCAGGAGGCGCCTGGGAAACCCAGCGCCTCTGCTCTCAGGCAACCTGGCCGGGACCTGGGCCCTCGCTTCCCCAGCCCAGCAAGAGCATGACCAGGCCAGTGAGGCAGGCACAGGGGAGCAGGGGCCACTCTTGGCGCCGAGTGACCCAATGGACGCTTTTGTGCCATCGGCCTCCCACATGTGTCTGGCTGGCCCTGCCCCCTGCCCTCTCCCTGCCCGGCTTTTCCCGGGCCCTCCTGTGTGCTGGCCCCCACCTCAGGTCCTCCCTCCTGACTCTGGGTCACTCGGTCACAGCCACGGCTCAGGGTCCTCCTGTCCCAGCGTGGCTCCCAGCTGGGTCTCTCCATTCCAGAACGTGCCCTCGGACACTGGGCCAAGAGGCACAGGGCCCTACTTTGTGCCAGGCATGTAGTGGCTGGGCTGGGACACCCTGGAGGGGCCCCTCCGCGAAGCCCCAGGAGGCATATCGAGCCTCACACGCCCCAACCTGGCTGCATGCGCCCTGTCCCCACCTGGGTGCTCCCCTCTCGCCATGGCACCTGGCTGCTGTGGGCCTCCGGATCCTGGCTAACGTGCCCCCGCCCACCCCCTGGTCCCTCCCAGTCCTGCGCAGGCCTCCCCAGGCCATCCCTCCTAACACCTCCCCTGCCTGGGCCCCCAGCCTGTCTGACCCCCACATCCTCTGCTCCACGAAGACCCCTCCAAGACCACATCCAGCTCGGCTCTGATGGTGTCGGCAGCTAGGAAATGCTCGGCCCCCGGAGGGGCTCAAGGATGGAGAGAGGGTATGAGTGGCCCTGAATGCCCCCATGCCCCACAGGCCCATTGCCCGGAGCCCCCACACCTGCCTCAGTGGACAGGAAGCTACTGTGGACGCTTTGGTACAGGCTGTCCCTGAAGGAGGGCTCCAGTAGCAGAGGCCTGGCCCGAGGTCCCCGTGCAGGCTGGTGGGAGGGGCGGGCTCACACCTCCACTGGCAAGCATCCCGGCGCAGCAGACCTGGCGGGGCTTACCTGGCGGGGCAGCCTGGGCACGGGCGCCGGCCCCCTTGGTGTTAGCAGGGATGCAGGTGAAGCTGAGGACGGTTCCCAGGAGGTTGATGCCAAGAGCCACTAAGGCTGGACACTGAATGCTGGGGACGACAGTCACAGTCACGCAGGGTCCCAGGGTGTGGGTGCCGCCTGCAGTATCTCCCCAACCTGCTCCTTCAGTCACCCTTAGGCCTCGATGGCTCAGAACAGCTCAAACTCCGCCACCCACGTCCCCAGAGCCTGCAACTCAGAGGGCAGGACCAGGACCCTCAGGGCACACGTCTCAGGTGACGATGAAGGAACAGATGAAGCTCTCGCCATCCTGACCCCTCGTGGTGGCTGCAGCCCTAGGTGGCCACAGCATGTAGGTCCTGGGGGCCTCTGAGGGTGGGTGGCGGGGGAGGCAGGATGAGCCCCTGCAGGGTGGGGGCGGATTCTCTGGGGGGACGGTTGGCTCTCAGGCTACTGAGGGGCAGGAAAGACACCCCCAGGACCTGCGTGCGCGTTTATGTGTGTGTGTGTGCGTGTGCTCCCGGCCTGGGCAGGTCGGCAAGAGGCTGGATTTGAATCTGGGCTCCACCAGCGTGGGAGACCGTGGGACGGCCGCACGGCCTCGTCTGTGTCATGGGAACCATCCCATCTCTTTCCCCTCGTGGGCAAGGAGGGGCCTGAGCTTAGTGGGCTTCAGGAGCCCCCTTTCTCGCCCACCTGCTCCCTGGAGGGGGTGGGCCACGCTGGCCCCACAGGGCCCAGGACACGACCCTCAGGCCACCCACCTGCCCGTACCACCACCATGCTCCGGCTCTCTCCTCTGCTTTCTCTCCCCTCCAGGAGTCACCACATGGGAACTCTGCCCTGGACCCCTCTGGAAGGTGTGGGCAGGCCATGTCACCTGGGAACCAGGTGCTGGGGGCTGGCCCTTCTGAATGGTCACCATTTCCTCCTGAGGACCAGCCCAGCACCCTCCCCAGGGGAATATGAGGAGCAAAACATTCTTACTGAGCCAGGCTGCTTGGCCCCCTAGGCTGGTGCATGGCTGGAACACCCTGGCCCTCAGCAGCAGAGAAAACACCTATACATTCTGCAAGGGCCCTTCTCCAGGACACCCCATCTCTCCTCCCCAGTGGGCACTCCGTCCTCTGAGAAGGGCTCACTCCATCAGATGGCCAGTATCCAGCCCCTCAGGGCAAGTGGGCCCAGTGGGACCCTGTGCCAAGCCCCCAGTGGGCATTAGATGGTGGAACAAATGGGTGAGCCATTCACATGGACAAAGTCCAGCCCCAGACCTCGTCAGCGTCTTGGGAGACGCAACCCGCTCCTCCCGACAGGCCTCTGCAGGGTTCAGAGAGGCCTTCCTGGCCCTCTGTGCCTGGCTGCATGAGCGTACAGACATGCAGGTGCACACGCATGCACACATGGACACATGTGCACACACACACACACACCCCCATTGCCAGAGCTCCGGTGGGAAACCTGAGAGGGGAAGGGCTCTGGGAAGCCAGTGGGGACCCCTGCACTGGAGAGGGTGGGCCTCGGCCACCGCCTGCTTCTTGGACCTGCCTGGGCTCACATAGTCGGTCAGTGGTGACGCTGACACTTGTCCAGCCTGCATGTGCCACTGAGCCCTCTCTGCCCCCACCGGCCCATCTTTGGCCAGCGCTCACCGCCTAGGACACTGGGTGTTCCCACTTTCTGACCGCTGGGGTCCCAAATGAACAAGCATTTCCACTGACGGCCAGGCCTGAGGGTCAGAGGGCGCTGGACCCCAGAGTGAGGCCTCCGCTCAGAGCCTGGGGAGGGCCAAGGCTGGGTACAGGCCCCATAGCCCCCTCCTCTGGCCATCAGGAACTGATCTGTGACGTGAGCAGGGACACCCCAGCCCTGTTGGCTGGTCCCAGAGAGAAGGGCCCTTTCTTCAGGACTCTGGCCCCAGGGGCCTGGGTGTCACTGTTCAGGGCCTGGCCGGGCAGGGACAAAACCTGCTTTCTTTGCCAGATGCCCCGGAAATGCGAGGGAGCCGAGGCAGCCACTTAGATGGCTATTTTGGGAGGCTGGTGACAAGTGAGGGGCGGGTGGCAGGGAGCCAGGCCCCTTCTCTTGGGATCTCGCCTGTCCCTTGCACGGTGGCTTGTGAACTGAAAGGAGAACAGGGACCTGGGGGGCCCCTACGGGGAGCCGAGGTGTCCTTCCCCACTCAGAGCTCTCTCTGACTCCCCCAGGACACAACGCCAGAAAGGAGAGCGACACGGAAGGGAGGCTCAGCAGCAGCTCCAGCCTCTGCCTGGAGGGTCCCCTCCGCTGGGAATGCCCTCCAGCCTTGCGCCCCCACCCTGGGTGCCGCTCTGTCCTCCAGGACACAGCCCGGGCGCCCTCCCCAGGGCCTTCCGGTCCACGCACCGCCAGAGTGGGGACTGTCGTGATGCAGGGTCACACGGGTGAGGCTGCAGGGTTTTTGTTGGCTCATTGGCCCTGTTTTACAAACTGAGGGCAGGCACCCATTAGCGTGGTTTTGTCCACCCCCGTTTTATTTTTGGTTGAATAGATGGACAGAGGCTGGGCGGACGGACTCACGGATGCTGTGAAAAGGTACCAGGCAGGACTCAGGGCACCCAAGTCCTTCTGTCCCCCTGCCCTTCTCTGTAGCTACCTTCCTGGGTAACATCCTTTCCTCAGATGCAAATGAGGGCTGAACTCTGGGGTCCCACCCTCCCAGGACACCTTGTCCCCAACCCCAAGGCTACACCAGTCACTGGGGGCTGCCTGGCTGTCCCGGATCCCTGCCCACCCCGTGTCCCCTTGGAATCACGCTTCCTCAGGAAGGTCGGCAGTGCTGGTCCAACAGCGGCGGCCGCAGCACTGCCTTTCATCCTTATCTCGAGGCCCAGGGTTCGCCGACGGGACTATATCAGGAGGACGACAGCCCTGGCCACCCGCCTACTCTGGGTGGACTCTGCGCTTTTGTCCTTTTCACCTGACCCTGTCCGGGCTCCTGCCGGCTCCAGGGTGACAATTCCCTGTGAAGCTGGAGCTGCCCATCCCACCTGCTCAAGGCCCCGAGAGGGGACTGTCCATAGCCAAGGTCCCCCTGGCCTGGCCGAAGGTGGGGCTCAGGGCCTCCCGGGCTGCGCGCCCCTCTCTGTCCAGCCTGGGGGACAGGCTGGGATCAGCTGAGAGCCAGTTTCACATAACATCTGGCTGTGAGGATGCTCTCTAGAGTCACCGCATGTCCAGCCTGGGGCTCGGGGCAGAGGTCACTCTGTTCCGCCCAATCCACGCCTCGAGACATTGTGGCTAGAACAAAGTCTGAAAGTAGAAGTCATGTGGGGCCACTCCTCGTTCAGCCTCCCTTTGGCTTCCACATCTCAGACAAAGACCCTAAAGCCATGTCTGGCATAACCCTTGGCAGCCACATGTCCCTGAGCGCCCGATCCCTCCACTGCGGCCTGCACAGGCCTCCACGCACCCCAGCCCCTTCCTGCCCGGGGCTTCTGCCCTGCCTCCCCTCTGCCCCCAGCACTGCCCCAGCCCCTCCTTCAACGGCTGACTTCTACCTCTCAGGTCTAAGCTGAGGCCCCGGCCCCATTCCCACTGGCCATTTGTGCCCTGTGTACTTCCCGGTGCCTGGAACACCCAGGTCATTTCTGAAGGGTCTGCGCCGCCCCTGGGCTGGCCTGGCTGGCCCTGCACAGTCTCGCTGAGCCCTCGTGAGCACCAAGTGGGGCAGGAGGCCTGGGTGACCCGTGAGTCACTCCTGTCCCAGAGCCGTTCAGGGCAGCCTGGCATGTCTACTCATTAACTTCAGCGGAAGCTGGCGTGTCGCTGGGGCGGAACCTCAGGATAAGAGCTTCCCGTCCCCTCGCCCAGACTGCCCGGCTGAGATAAGGGTCCTCAGGGAGGCCGGCGTGCCCAGGCCTCCAGTTACCGAGTGAGGTAAACACCTGCTGGATCACTGAGGGCCCAGGGGGCGCAGCTCGGGGCTGGGGGTAGAGTGGGGCTACCTGCCGGCCAGTTAGTGCCCAGGAGGCTGGCAGGTGACACTGAGACCCGGCTCTGCCTGACTTCCAGGGTCTGTGGCTGGATGCTCCCCCAGCCCAGTGCTCGGATTCTCCCGGGACTAAATGACTGGCCACCTTGGAGGGCCTCGGACTGTGGGCCCAGCTGTGCCTGTGACCGGCTGTGTGGGGCAGCCCCTCCGTGCTCAGAGGAGCAGGGGTCCTGCCAAAGGTCCCCCACATGAAGTCCAACCATCAGGCCTCGGGTTTTGCCTGATTCCACCATCAGCAGCCTCTGACAGGTGGCTCCCCCTGTCTTTCCTTGGCTCCTAGGACCCCCCTTCCTCAGGACCCCATCCCCGGGACCTGACTCTGGTGGGCTCGGCAGGCTGGTGCTGCCTATCCCCGAGGCACACGGCTCACTAGTGGGGAAGGGGTGATGGAGGCCTCCCCAGGCTGTGAGATGCTGGGCTCAGGGCCACGAGTCGCAGAGCTCCCCCCACCTGCTGAGTGACTCAGGGTGCAGATCTGTGCCTTCTGCGGGAGCCAGGCCTCCCAGCCCCGGGCTCCAGGCTGGGCCCAAACCAGTTATACCACTGCCAGGCCCACAGCTGTGGCTGCCAAGGCCACTTCCTCCCGTCACCTTCTCCCCGCAGTGGGGGTGGGGCATGGCTGGGGCCTTTGGGGGGGGACTGGACATGGGGGTGGGGGGATGGGCAGGGAGGGTGCTGCAGCCAGGCAGACCTCACATCGTGCCTCGGTTCTTATGAAGGAAGGAGAAGGAGGGTGGGGATGTGGCCTTCACACCTTGTCACTGGCTGTGCCAGGAGGCCTAACAGGCTGCAGGTCAGCAAGGAGGAGAGTGTGTGACCCTTGCCATGGGTCTTCAGGGTCCTGGAGCCCGCCTCTCCTGGGCCCCGCAGCCTGGGCCTTGTACGGGGACCCGGAGCTCCATGGAGGAGCCTCACCCTCTCTAAGGCCTCAGTTTCCCCACCCATCAAAGGAAGTGTCAAGGTTATAAAGTGCCTTAAGATCTTGGGATGAAAGAAGATAGGGAAGCTAATGGAATGTTCTGGAAGGTGAGGGCAGGGGTGGAGGTGATCTTGGGGTCTACTGGGAGGGAGAGGAAAGTGAGTGATGTCTTCTGGGTCAGCATCTGGGATGGAGAAAAAGGCGGATGATGACAGGAGGTGGCATGGGTCAGGGCTGATAAGGGGAGGCCAGCGTGTGCGTGTGTGCGCCCTGGACACAGGGCCCGGCCCTCACACCCCACAGCACCCCTGGGAGTGAGCGAGGGCTGACGGGCCCATTTCACAGGTGAGAGTACCTGGCGAGGCGAGGAAAGATGCCCCATGGCCCATGGTAGCAGGTAGCGGGCTGGGAGGTGAACCACCTGCCCGGGGGACTGAGGCTCCTGGTGGGGGTGCGGCGTGGGGGGGGACTCCTTCCTGCCCTGCCTCTCCCTGCCCTGCACCCTCTTCATGCCCTGACGCCCCCTCCTTGCCGTGGCCCCTGGCCCTCTTTCTCTCTCCCTGGGGGGACAGAGGCCCTCTTTCTCTTGACCCTGATCCATCTACCGAGTCAGGCTCCCGCGCCTGCGCACAAAGAGAGGCAGCGCAGGTCCAGGCTGAATCCACAGTCACGGGCCCCTCCCGGCCTTGGGATCTCCTTCTTTTCTTACTGTGCCTCCTCCTCACCCCCGGCCCCTTGCACAAAGTGCTCGGCACCAGCCCCAATCTGAACCAGTTCTCAGGGCTTGGACACCACCCCGGTGAGGACACAGCCCTGTCCTCCCCCTCAGCTCAGACTCCCTTACCCAGAGGCCCACTCCAGGGCTCCCTCATGCTCCTAATGGGCGCCGGACTCAGCCTGACGGAGCCCCACCTCCCGCAGGTTCCCCGGGCTGCTCAGATCTCAGCAAGGCCCACGGCTCCCCCAGGGCCACCCCAGAGTCGGGACACAGCCTTCAGTTCACACTCACACCCCACTCATCAGCAAACTGAGCCCGGGCCTGGCCTCTGCCCTCTCCCTCTATGGCCGTCTGTGGTCCGGCCGCCATCCCCCCCCCCCCCCCCCCCCCCCCCCCCCCCCCCCCCCCCCCCCCCCCCCCCCCCCCCGCTCTCCCTGCGGTGGCCCTAGCCCCTACATTCTCAACACAGTGGCCAGGTCACACCTAGCCCCTGCTCAAGCCCGCCCAGGGCTCATGGCCTGGACTCCTGCTAACCCCTCCTCCATCCCCTCCCTGCTTCCCACTCCAGCCACACGGGCCTCCTTGCTTCCCACTCCAGCCACACGGGCCTCCTTTCTTCCCCACACTCAGGGCCTTTGCACTTGCTGCCTCTGCCTCCCCAGATGTCCCCCTGTCTCCCCCTCACCTCCTTCAGGAGAGGCACTGAGACCACCTGTATATCTGGCCCCCGATGCTACTGTAATACTTTTTACACCATGAAATTCAACCTGACGTTACAGGAATACGTATCACACTCCTGTCACCTGAGGACTCAGCCTGTCTTGTTTCCCACTGTACCCAGAATCTCAGGGGCACTCAGCACGTGTTTAACAAAGTCAGAGAGGAAACAAATGGACGAGGGGGTGCTGCCTTCCCTCCCAAGCCTCTTGCTCACGGTGGCGCTCAGCAGAGACAGCTGTCCCCACCCAGGCTCTGATGAAAATGCTGGGGCGGGGTGGGGAGAGGGGCCTTGAACAGAGATCTCCCTCCAGGGAAGAAGGTGCTGTGACAAGGCCACCGTGCCCTCCCTTCCCCCAGTCCCTGGGACTCAGCCATCACCCAGTTTCTTCCACCACTGTTGGGGCTGGTCTGGGGGAACTCAGGCCCAGGGGCTGGCATCACGTCACTAGGAAGGCCCCTCCTCTGAACAGAGTCCCAGGGCAGCTCCCCTAGGCCCACACAGGGTGGGTGGGTCACCAGCTGGCACAGGGCCTCTCGTCAGGGAGCAGGTAGGGGTCTCCACCCATAGCTGGGCGGGCCACTCGCCCCCTAGACCAAGACCAAAGGCTTGGCCCGGATGGAGAGGCGCAGAGTCCACGCCTGTGAAGGAAGCCAATTTTGGGTGGGCACGGGAGCAATCGTGGATGGGGAGGGATGTGGGTGGCACAGCATGGGGCCTCTCCAGGGCTGGGCGTCCTGGGTCCAAGGGTAAGCTCTTCCCCTAGGAGGTGCACCCAGGACCGCTTGGACAGACCACTCTGTCCAGCCTTACCGCAGGTTCAGGAGCCCTGGAGTGGGTCCACTCTGCAGACCACGTGTGGGGGCTGCCGGCCCGGTGCTCTCAAGGTGCTGGGCGGAATCTGAGACTTACAGGGCAGGGGCTGCGGGACTGGGGCTGGGAAGACCCTGGACCTCTGGGTGTGCCAAGCTGGGGCGGGGGGCCGTAGAGGCCTTTACTTCACACACACCAGTTATTAAACCCCCTCAAGCTGCCCTCACACTCTCCAGAGGCTCGGGGTCTGGCTGCCTGCAGTGTCCCCATCACAGGGCCCCTGTCACCCTGGGATCCAGCCTCCAGGGGCTGCCGTCCTTTTTCCTGTCGGGCCAGCCTGATCTCCGTCAGGCCCAGGACCGCCAGGCAGAGCCCCCTAGCCTGGGACCGCTGGGGACAAGCCGCCGGAGGCGGTCTTGAGCTAGCCAAGCCCGGCCCAGGGGCCACAGGCTCCGCCCTCCGGCCACGCCCACCGGGTAGGTCCAGAGGGTCACCCTCTGGCCGGCCTGACTTGCTCAACGTGCAGATGGGGAAACCGAGGCCCCGGTGGTGGCGAGGCTGGGCCGAGGGTCCAGAGCGCCCAAACGACCCAGCCTCGGCCGCCCTAACCAGTGTCCCCCGCACTCTGCCCCGCTGGCCCGCCCCCGGCCTTGTTCCCGCCCGGGCCACTCACCCGTATGCAGCGCTCAGGGTCCCGCCGAGCAGGGAGCCGATGATGCTGCCGACGCCGAAGCACAGGCCGAGTCGGCTCAGGGCCGCGGGCCGCTCCTCGGGCGCAGACAGGTCCGTGATGATCATCTGGGCGGCTGGGGGCGGGGCGGGGCTGAGGGGTGCGGCCTGCCTAGCTGACCCCATGCGGCCTGCGGGCCAGGCCCCGCCTCCTCACACATCCCCTGTACCCCAGACCCGCCTCCACATCACCTCCTCCTCCTTGTCACCTTCCTCTGGAAGCCCCCCACAGCACCATTCCCCCCCAATCCCCCGGCAGGCCACGCCCCCACCTTACTCCCTGCCCCCAGGCCACGCCCCCACCTCATCCCGGGACCTGTGTCCTGCTCTCCGGACTAGACTAGCACCGTGGGAGTGACCTTCGCCCCACCCTCTGGTTCAGGCCATGCCCCACAGCTAGGTCCCCCACTCCCTCTGGTCCCGCCCTCTGCCCAGGCTACCTGGATTTGCCCCCATCGCAACCCCTGGGCCTGCCACAGGCCCGAAGGCCTATACTTGGTCCTGACTGTTCGCACCTGCCCCCAGAGGGCCCTACCTGGCAGTGTGTGCATGAGCACGGCGGGCAGGCGGGAGGCAAAAAGCAAAGCCACGCCGGGCAGACCTGGGCTGCAGGCGGCTGCCAGGAGCAGGTAGAGTGCCGAGGCCGCCATGAAGGAGAGCGTGAGCGCGGCCCGCGCCCCACGCTGGTCTGCAAACCTGGGGGACCCCACACCTGTGAGCCTCCAGGTATCAGGCTGGCTCCCCCCTCCTCTGCCCTCCATGCTGGGCTGCCAGGGAGCCAGGCTACAGTGCTCCCCACAGGGCTGATCAGGCAGGGTGGGGTCCTGTGAAGGTGGGCGGGGGCCCTGGGCAGGCATCACTCCTCTCAGGGCCTCAGTTTCCCCATCCTTCCAATGGGACAGTTTTCTGTGACCTCGGGGTGGCATTCTCACTCCTTGTGGGACCTGAATGGACCGAGGGGATGTGTGTGGTGTACAGAGCGTTTCCCAGGCCCCAGCTTTCCTCCATCCGTCCCTAGGCAGCTGACCCCCCGAGCCCCCCTGTTTCACTTGACTTCTTTTCTGCCAGCATCACTCTAGCGATCTGACTCCTGCCACTGTTTGGTTTGCGGGAAGATGTCTGCAATCATGTCCCTGAGCCCAGCGCCCCTGCAGCACTGAGATTAGTGGGGGTCTGGGGGCTCCCCAGTTCTCGGAGCTCCTGCCTGGGACCCCGAAGGCCCCAGTTTCCAGAACTGCATGTCCATAAAAGCTGCCGGTGGGACACCCAGCTCAGCAGGGCTGGGTGTTTACAGGCGTGAGTCGCACCAGCTAAATCCACAAACCAGAATTAGTGTCAGTCATGGGCGGGGGACCCCCAGCCCTCCAGGGGGCCAAAGCTCTTCTGTGCCTCAGCGTGCCCATCTGTGAAACAGGAGCAGTTGTCACCCCGGTGGGACGACCCCGCCCATGACCGCCGAGGATTGGGCCCAGGTCCTTGTGGGGCAAGGGCCCCTCAAACTTCCCTTCCCCACTGTACCTGCCGAACAGCGGCCCACCCAGCAGCTGAAGCACACCGAAGATCGTCTGCTGGTAGCCAAAGGCGACAGAATCCAGGCCAAGGCTCCGAGACAGGTACTGAAACACCGGGGTGGGGGGTGGTTCATGGGAACGAGCCCAGGATCTGGAATCCAGGGTCATTGGTGGGCAGCGGGTGGGAGGCAACTGAGGGTCTGGCTATTACCACCCCTCGGTGTGCCTTGGAAGGCACCTGCACCCTGGGACCTGGCTGCTCCTCTTGTCGGGGGGGTCCCCATCGGGACCTCCGGGTCCAGGCTCCAGGGACACGCTGGTCAGCGAAGGCAGCTGCTGGCCCTCATTTTCCCCTGCAGGGTAGGCCTCAAACGGGCGAGGAGAGGCACCCACCCCTACCATTTTGGCTTCATTGTCTCAAAACTGCATGGTGAAGACTAGTGTCTCCGGGCCACCAAGACATTGTCCCAAAGTACCCTGATGGCCTCCAGGAGGTGGCCCATTTCCCAGCCCCTCCCGGCCCCTCCTGTGTGGACGCCCCTCTGGGGAGGAAAACAGCAGTGTGCAGCGTGCCTCCAGGGAACCCGAGGCGTCATGGGGACCCCGGGCCTCCTGTCCTATGCTGCCCAAATCCTCTGTGACCTCAATAGTCCTGTAGCTGCTCCTTCCGGCCCCTGGCCTCTGAGTTCCTGACTCCTGACCCCTCCCTCCAGCAATCCCAGCTATTATGGGGTGAATTGTGCCCTCCCCAAAATATCTTGAAGTCTTAATCCCCAGTACTGGGAATGTGGCCTTATTTGGAAATAGTCTCTACAGAGGTGAGCCAGGTAAAGTGAGGTCCTCGGGGTGGGCCCCAGTCCTATACGGCTGAGGTCCGTGTGTAAAGGGGAATTTTGGACACAGACACAGAGGGACGACCATGTGAAGAGACAGAGGCAGAGACTGGGGTGTGTGGCCACCAGCCAGGGAATGTCTGCGGCCGCCAGGTGCTGGAGGAGGCAGGAGGGGTCCCTCCCACGGGCTTTCCTGTCACAGGGAAGCCTGTGACACGTGGATTTGGACCTCTGGCCTCCAGACCTGTGAGACGATAAACCTCTGTTGCTCTGAGCCACCCAGTTTTCAGTCTTGACAGCCGTAGGACGCGAATACACTGCGTCCCGCAACCCCACACCGTGTGCTCTCCCTAAGCCGGTCTTCCCCGGTGCAGCGGAAGTCCCAGAGCCGTGGGCAGACCCCTCCCCTCCTGTGTGAGCGGGGCCGCTCCGTCTGCTGGGCTCTCCTCTGTTTGTGGACTTGACTGGACGATCACGGCACGTGCCCCGGGCAGTCCCTTCTCTCCCCATCCCACTACATCCCTCCTTCTCTCCCTCAGACCCTGCCTCCTCCTCCCCTGCCCTCCCCATCCCGCTGCTGTGAGGAAGCAGAACTTCCCGAGACCACCCCTGCCCACCTGTCCGCTGTCCTCACCCCCCTGAGCCACCATGCCCCGGGCATCACATTCCAGCCTCTGGCCTGCTCAAGGGCAGGGCTCCCAGGCGCTCCTCCCCTTGCGCCTTCTGTCTCTGGCTGGTATTTCTCCTTTCTCTTCACCCCTCGCCTCCAGCGACTGCCCCCAAAGCTTTGTTGTTCCCTTTGCAGCAAACCCCTCCTCACCACCGCCTGCCTCCCCTTCCTTCTCCCACCCCACCCCCACCAGGCGTTCCCTCCGCCTTCCTGGAGGTCACCTGGGCCTCCTCTGCTCCCTCCAGGGGGGGCTCCTCCCTGCTCCTTGCTCTGGACCGTCCTGGTTCCTCCTGCTCCCCGGCCTCCACCTCCTCTCACTCCCTGACGAGGTCGCTGTCTCCACCCCTGACCCAGGACTCTCTCCTGAGCTGCCCCGGCTCTCCATGCCCTCTAAAACCACCCCGAACTCAGCACACGCAGAACTGGCTTGCGGTCTCCCGGAAGACCGGCTCCTCTGCTGCATCACTGACGCCTCCACTCTTCGGGGGTTCAGGTCCAAATCCTCAGCCTTAGCCCTGACCTCCTCTTTCTTGCACATCTACTCCAATCTATCAGCCACTTCTGGTCTCAGCCTTTACCCCAGGTCCCAGTTCTAGCTGCTTCTCACCTCCCCGACTGCCACCACCCTCCTGGAGTCCTCGTCACTTCTCTCTGGCCTCAGCTCCTCCCCTCCACTACCCATCTCCAGCTGCTCTGGCCTCGTGACTGCCCCAGGACCTTTGCACAGGCTGGGCTCGCTCCTTTGTCTCCTTTACTCAATGTCGCCTTCTTAGGGAGGTCTTCCTGACCCCAAACCCTTTCTGCAGCTGGCTGTCATCTAACACACAGCAGTTTGACTGCCCACTGTTTACTGTTGGCGGGGTCACCGTCCCTGCCATTCACACCAGCGTAGTTGACTGCCCGTTGCAAGGGAGGGACTGTTCAGCCTGCGGTCACTGTGCCACACTCCAAGTTCTGAGAACAGGTGCGCACAGTAGGTGCTCAGTGGGTATTCATTGAACAAACACGGTCTCTCCCCAGGAGGGAGGTCCTTGCTCTGTGCCCGTCTTTCCCAGGGTATTAACTGTCCGCTCGTCACTCCCACATCAACCCTGCCAAGAGGGATGGCTGGGACCCATTTATGATGGGGCCTGCCCAGGCTGCAGGTGCCGGGGGGGGGGGGCAGGGGGGCACGTCAGGGCTTCGGCCAGGCCACTCGGTGGGAGTGAGCCGGGCTTGGGAGGCAGGTAGAGGGGGTCAGGCTCAACCATGCCTCCTGCCATGCTGGGAATGGTGACAAGGACGATATACCCCCACCATCCCCAGCCCCGGGCTGCTCATAAGAATCTCCTGCAGAACTCTGGGGATCTGTTGCTTCCAAAGCCCCTCAGATGCTCTTGCACCAGGAGGGTGGGACCCTCTGGGCCAGCTCCCAGAGGTTTGCTGAACGAATGAGCAAGAGTGCACTGAATGGCTGGTGGGTGGATGGGAACCGGGCAGCTGTCTATGGTCGCTTTACCAACCGCCTACTATGGCCAAGCACAGTTCCAGACCAGGGGAGGCAGCAGAGAATGAGATGGATCGAGCCGCACCCTCACGTCCTGGTGAGGGAGACAGAACGAATCTGATGGCATGGAATAGGCTGCGAGTGTGGGCATCTGCCTGAGCACGCACCAACGAGGCCCAGGGATGGAGGGGAAGTGGTTCCAGGTACCAGGTAGTGTCGGGGGAGGGCCCATCCTGGAGGAGACCCAGGCAGAGGCCTGAAGAGAATGAGGAAGCGAGCCAAGCAGCTGCTGGGGCAAGGGATCGATAGGGCAAAGGCCCCTGGGTGGGGCGGGAGGAAGGGAGCTAGGCCACCAGGAGCGACGCGCTGCCACAAGGAGGCTGTGTGGTTGTGGGGGTGGCTCCCTACGGCCCTTCTCCGGGGGCGTGGAGCAGCCAGAACACAGGACGTGCTGATGAGGGGTCAAGAGGCACAGTTCCTGGGTCCCTTAACTTGGGTTCAGCATGGCAGGGACCCCCAGGGAGAGGGCCTGGGAGCATCACCCCCCCACCCCCGGCCCCTGCCACTGCACAGATGGAGGATGAGAGGGACGGAGAGGGCCTGCTGGCGGCGGGGCTGCCCCGGGAGGGTACTCACCGGGATGATGGAGAACTGCAGGAAGAGGCAGGAGAGCTCCATGGCGGTCAGCACATAGGTGAGCAGGATGACCCAGGGCCGCCCCAGAGTGCCCATCGCATCCAAGGACTGGCCGTGGGCCTTGGGGGCCCTGGCTCCCTGCATCCCGGACAGGCGCTGCGGGAGCCCCTGGCGGGATGTGACCAGGAGACCAGCGGAGCGGGCACGGGGCAAAAGTCCTGCTGTGCTGGGCGAGGGCGCTGAGTCACGGGGCAGGAGGCGGGCGGCGCCGGCCTGGCCTCGCCCTGAGGAGAAGGCCTGCGGGAGAGGACAGTGCTGCAGGACCCCGAGGCAGCTCTCCAGTCACCTGCTCTGTGACCTTGGGCCAGTTTCGCCCTTGGAGAACACAGCAGGTGGCCCTCTCCCTTCACACCCAACTCCGGGTCTCTGGGCACAGAGCCCCTGCGGGCTGGGAGATGGAGACCCTGTCCCCAGCATGCGTTACAGAGGAAGGCACCAGCACCCCACTTTTAGCGGGAAACAGAGGCCCAGAGTGGCCACTGACTGCAGCTCAGTAGGTGCCTTTGAGGGTGTGGGGCAAGCTTGGGTCTCTGTGCGGGGGTGGGGCTCCGTGGGTCCACAGAGACGCCCCCCACCCCGCCAGCATTACAGAAATACTCTCGGGGGAAGGCCCACCTTCCCTTGGTCCTCCAGCCAGAGCCCACGGGCACTCCTGGAGTGGTCTGGGGGTGGGGTGAGGGCTGCTCAGCCTTCCAGGCCCTCCGGGCGGGCGCTCTGCCTCCCCCTGCGCCTGCCCTGTCTGCTCCCCACGTCCCACTCGGCAGGAACCAGATTTCTCAGCTCCACCGGGGCCTCCATAAAATTATACCAAATTAACACCTGACTGTACGGTTGACCCCAAAGGTGCCCTTCAGAATCCGGAGCCCAGGAGTTGGGTAGGGTGAGAGCAAGGAGGGGACTCAGGGCTGTGCCCAGCTGCCGTCCCCACCCCAGGGTGCAGGGAGACTGGGGGGATTGGGGCAGAGGCTGCGAGCAGCGGTTCAAGGGTCCCTGGCTGGGCAGGGGTCCACAGTGAATGAGGAGCCAGTCAGGGGCTGCACGCCGGGAGTGAGCTCCGGTGCCTGCCTCCTCTAGGGCAGCAAGGGCACCGGCGCAGGTCCAGGGAGCCCTCCCGGGGTGAGCCGGGCCTGCCCCTTCCTGGGCTCGGCACCCTCGCTCAGGGTGACCTGGAACTCCTGCCTTCCTGGGGTGGCCCGGGACTCCGGCTCTCCCGGGGACCTGGGACAATTACCCTCCTGGGGTGAGTTCCAGCCCCGCCCCGGGGCTGACCCGGGACACCCCGCCCCCGCCGGCGCGGCCTCCGTGCTCTCATTGGCTGAGCCCGACACGCCCCCGGCTGGCCCCGCCCCCCGGCCCGGACCCCGGCCGCCTCCTCCCGCCCTCGCCGCCTCCTGCTTTTCTCCCAGGTCGGCGGAGGAGGCAGGAGCTCTGACGCATGGAGCAGTACTAGGTGGCAAGGGTGGAGAGGGGAAGTGGCGAGGGGTGGGGGACAGGGGCTGGGAAGAAGGACAGGAGGGGAGAAGGGTGTTGGGAAGGGCAAAGACGACGACAAGGGGAGAGGAGACGGGCATTGCCTGGCTTGCCCCCGGCCTAGGGTCTGCACAGAGACCCAGAGGAGGGGCAGGGAGACAGGAGCATCTCTGGGAACTGCTCTGGCACCCCCTCCCGCTTCCCTCCACAGACCAAGAGGCTGCCGGCAGTTGCCGAAATGCCAGTTTTGCCTATTTGACACTGCTGCCTCCCCCACAACCCCTTGGCCCGGCCCACCAAGCCCCACGGTATGTAGGTACACATGGCTTCAAGTTGTCCCTCCACGGGGCTGTGCTGGTCCCCCTTACAGCCACCCCACCTTGGGGCCAAACACAATTCCCCTGATGAGGAACCAGATGCTCCTTCAGGACTCCCTGCCCCACGCCCCGCCCTGCAGCCAGGAGCCAGGCCACGGGCCAAACGTCAAACCAAAGTCCTCTCTGCCACGTGTGGACTGCGGCTCAGCGGAGCAGAAAGCTGCTCAAGATCAGGGGCCGGAGACAGGGGGCAGACATCAGCGGAGCCCCTCCCGCAGTTAAGGGCACAGCCAGGGAGCCCATGGCCTGCTGTCTGGGCCTTTCAGGACAGGGGCAAGGGCGCCCTGGGTCAGCGAGGGAGTGGCTCACATCCCGGCCCTCGGCATCGCGGGCCTGTGTTCAAGGACGATTTTAGTCCACACAGTGCAAACGGGGGACATGCGTTCGCAGCCTGGGACCATGTCCCCTGTCCTCTGCCCACCCAGGGGTCATGCGGAGAGCCCAGAGCTGGGGCAGGTGGACCAGCCGTGGTCTGGAAGGACCGCGAAGAGGGCTCCCTGTGGAAGCAGAGTTGACAGCAGGTGCAGGGGGTCTGAGATTCGGGACTCCTGGGGTAAAGGTCAGGACTCTGGATGGCTCCATGCACCATGGCAGGGGGCAAATAAAGGGACTGTCCCCAGGTGGCTCCAGTCTCCCCAGGACCTACTGAGCTTCTCGGCTGCCTGCTTCCCACAGACCTGATCAGGAGACTGGAACATGACCTGGCTCTTCCTGGGTCTCCGAGACAGGGTTGGGGGTGAAGAGGTGAGGGGCGGTGGGGGGCAGATGGGGGAGGCCAAGGGCCCTTTGGAGTGTGCAGGTGGGCAGGAAGGGGCTGGTTACTCACCTCTCCCTTCCTCCTGAGTCAAGCAGTGCCTATGGGTGGCTTGGAACAGGTTGGAGCAGAAGCAATCAGATCCAGCCTAAGTATTTGTCATGCACAGGATCAATGTGGGCGGGAGCTTCCTGGTCCCCAGGGAGTGTGGGAAAATCGTCCTTTGGGCTGGATGAGGAAAGAGAAGCACTCAGAACCCCGGAGCCCCTGGACCCGGCCTTCTTTCTCCAGAGTGAGCAGCTTTGACTGGAGGCCAGTGTGGCTAACCCACTCACTTAGCCACTCAACAAACCCTTGGCCCTTTCCCAGGTACCCACTCCCAACCCCAGGGCATTCACTGTTCCAGGCCCCACCCCTCGGAGAAACATGCTGCCAGTTCTGCCAGATGAGGCTGATCCAGGCTGACTCGAGGAATCTAGGTGGGGTTGGGGAGGAGGGCTTCTCAGAGGAGGTGACGCCTCCATGGACTCTTAAGCACAAGTGAAGATAAGCCAGGTGCGGGAAGGGCATGCCGGGTAGAGGGAAGAGTATGGACAAAGGCTTAGAAGTGAGACCAAGCTTGGGGTGTTTAGGAAACCGAGGATCTTTGGTGGGGTGGGGGTGAAGTTTGAGCCTGGAGAGGGGCGGTGAGGCCCAGATTGCAGAGGGTCTCCACAAAGGCCCTCGGGAGGCCCAGAAGGGTGGGAAGGGGGAGTGACAGGTGAGATGCACCCTGAGGAGGGTCACTCTGGCTCAAGTGTGCTGGAGGGTGAGACCCCTGCGAGCCCAAGGATCCAATGGGCTGGAGGGTACCCCCACACCGCTGCCTGGGCCTCTGAGCTGCTGCTGGGCCCAGAGACAGGAGGCCTTGCTGAAACCCACAGACACTTATTGAGCGCCTGCGGTGTGCTGGGCTCTGTGCCAGGGGCTTGCGATACCCAGCCCACAACTCAACTGCCCACCTAGCTTCAATATACCGAGCCCGAAAGTGCCTGTGCGTGTACACGTGTGTGCACGCATGTATGTGCCTGTGTGTGTGCACAAATGCATGTGCCCATGTGTGTATGCCCATGTGTGAGTGTCTATGAGTGTACATGTATGTGTGCGCACGTGCGTATGCCCCTGTGTGCGTCTATGCGTGTACATGTGTATGCGTGTGTGCACAAGTGTATGTGTGTATGCCCATGTCTGTGTGTGTCTGTGTAACATGCATGTGCACGTGCGTATGTCCGTGTGTGCACCTGTGCATGTACATGCATGTGCGTGTGTACATGTGTATGCCCATGTGTGTGCGTGCATGTACATGCATGTGCTTGCACGCGTGTAGGGGGAGCAGATAATACCCAGTATGTGTGATGTATAAGTAAACGACACACTGAGTGTGAGCACATGGGTTTTGCCCTGTGTGCAGTGGAGCAATTTCAGGGTTGTGAGCTTGCCTTGTGTTCTAGAAGGAGCCTTTGACACGCTGATCAGGGACCCAGGGGGTAGACCAGCACAGGGAGGCCTCTGCAGTCCCAACGGGGGTGACGTGGACTTGGATGGGAGGTGGCAGCAGAGGGTGCGAGGGGTCGGAAGAGCTGGCAGCGTGTCCTGATGGATCGGGTGCGGCCTGGGAGAGCGCCCGCAGTGTGGGACTGAGAAGGGGTGCGGGGGTGGCTCTCAAGGGAGAAGCTGCCGGTGGTCAGCGCTCACGGGCTGGAGACAGGTCAGCACAGGTGCAGGAGCCTGCGACTTGGGGCTGTGGTCTGAGCTGCATGTGGGACTCAGCATCCTCTGCATTGAGACAGCATTTAGCGCCCTGACTCCGTATGAAGTGAGTCCAGGAGTGGGCTGGCGAGGGGTCCCATGGAGAGCACGTGGAATGGCACTTATAATTCTTGTAATTCCCCGAGGGCTCGCCTCAAATGTCACACTTTCCTCTGAACAAGGTTTCCCCGCCAACAAGGTTCTGGCTGGAGTGGGACCGGGACACAGGGCGGGGTCGGATGCAGTCCCCTGACCCCGCAGCCCCGTCTCAGCCCAGGTGAGGCGGAGGTTCAGGCCAGCAGGGGCGCCTGGACCCCACAGCAGGTCTGTGCTCCACCCCTTAGGTGCGCCCCGCCCAGAGTCCTGGGTGGTCAGACTGCGGCTTGGTACACTGTCCTTGGAGTCACAACCTTGTGAGGGGCCCTCCAGCCCAGTGCAGGCCTTGGGGACCCGGCCTCAGTGTGTCAGCTCCCTCTTGGAGGCGGTCAGGTTGAGGGCCTGGGAGGGTGGGTTCAAAGTCCCTCTGCAGGTGCCACGTGAGGGGCTGGGCTGGCAGGTGCCAAGGAACCTTCAGGAACTGGAGTCCATGAATAGGTTTCTGGTTTGGAGTCTGGACAGGGGCTGCTTGGAGGAAGGGCCGGGGCTGGACATGGTCCATGGCTGGTTCTCTGGAGCTGAGCGTTGGCTCCGACCCACCCCACAGGGGTCCTGGGATAGAGGCCTTCAGGCCAGAGCACAATGGCGTTTGGGAGGAGGTGGTGCTGGCCAGCGGGCTGCTCTCCCCGCCTCCCGGGATCCAGGGGCCTCAGCATCCGGGCAGAGGGAGGGCAGCTGCCTGCTCGGGGGCAGAGGCCTGGGGTCCCAGGACGGGTGAGCGTCCACTTCTCACCCACTGAGCTCTGCTCTGTCCTGACTCAGTGCTGGGATGCGGTCCTGCCCAGCGGGCTGGGGGTCACTCACTCCAGGGGTTCCTGCTAGCAATGGCCACACCAAGAGGGATCAAGGCCTTGATGGGGAGGTGTGGCCGAGAAGGCCACTGGAGGCTGTGTCCATAGCCAGAGGCCTGCCGACTGGAGACTTGGGGCCCGCAGGTGACAGGGGGTAGTCAGGGGTGTCTGTGTCCCCTTTCTCCCACCACGGGCCGGGAGACCAGAGGAGAAGGAATCGGGGGGCCCTGCTCTTGGGAAACTCGGTCTCCATGTGGGGAGACCCTCACACAGGTGCCACCTGCCCCAGCTAGCCGGGAACTGCGGGGTTCCCAGGACGTGGGGCTCTCCGCGTGAGCACGGGGCAGCCCTAGACAAGGCGGGATGGATGGTCACCCTCCCCTCACGGGTCCCTGGAGGCCAGATAGACTCACGCGGGACCTTGACCTAGAGGAAGGAGAGGAAGACTCTGGGGCAGTGGCGGGGGGGCACTGTAAGGTCATGGGTCCCCATCCCCAGGCCCCGTCGAGGGATGCCTCGCCCTGACTTCTGTCCAAGGGCAGAAACAGCAGCTTCAAAGGAGGGGTGTCCATCCAGGGAGGCTGGAGGAGGAAGCGGTCAGCAGACCGTGGTCCGGCCTGGCAAGGGTCTCAGAGGGGGTGTGAGAGGGTGGAAGGGCGGCCTGGAATCAGGAAGAGACGGAAAGCAGAGCAGCCAAGGTGAACACCTGTTCACCAGGCTGGAGTGGGGGAGGAAACTGAGGCAGGAGAGGTGGCATGAACACACCTCTCCCCCTGTGTTCCTGGGGCCTCCGTCCCCCCAGCAGGCACGTGCCTGAGGGACCCGGAGGTTTGCAAACTCCTGTCTCTTAGGCACCTGCGTCTCCCCCAAGTACCGCCTCCTCCTCTCCCTGCCCCGCACGCCCCAGCTGGAAGGGATTGCCCATGTTCTACCCCCCACCCCACATCCAGCGTCTTCTAGAACCTTGCCCGTTGGCAACTCAGTAGAGACTTCAGAAAGAAGCCAGAAGGACTTCCAGGAAGCCAGGAGAGAAACCACAAACCCACGCACCCCCTCTTCCTCTAAGAGTCCCCCGGCCAGCCTGGATGGCGGCGGCAGGGAGCCTGGCTATCTGGTTTCTGTTGGGGGCACGACCCCGACATCTTGAGCAGCGCGAAGCAGCAGCCTGCCTTCCCTGCTCTGGGCCCTGGGCCCTGCTCAGCCCCAGGGCGCTCGATCCATCTTGCACGCCTTTTGCAAACTGAAGACGGCAGAGATGCTGGCCTCCCGCCCTGCCCCTTCCCTGCCAGGACTGGCACAGGTCATGGCTCTGAAGTCCTCGCTGGAGCCTCTCTCCTCGGGCCCCGCCTACTTCACCTCTTTCTGCCCCCGCCCACCGGCCTGGCAGCCCCTGGTGGGGAGGGCCTCCCTGAGGTCTGTTGGAAGGACAGGAGGACACGGACAAGGACACAAATCAGAGACCTCTAAGTCTAGGCCCCGATTGGACATTCGAGAAGGAAGAGATGCTCAAGGTTGTGCTGTTATCAGTGGCCGCCAGGCTAGAGGCCCAACGTCCGGCCGGAGGCAAGCTCCTGCCTCCACCTGGTCGCTGTCCTGAGTGCACGGGGAAGGCGGCTCAGCAGGGAGGCCCAGCCGCAAACCCCCAGCAGCTGGCGTGCGTCCCGGAGTCTGCGCTCATGACGGCGCCCGGCGGTTACGCATCAGGCTCTGCTGTCCGCCCCGCCGGGCTGGCATCTCTGTGACCTACCAGGCCTTGACAAGGGTCCTGTCCTCTCAAGCCTCAGTTTCCCCATCTGTGAATTGAGGACAGCACTAATCTCTTCCTCACAGGAGGATATTAAATGAGATAATTCGCACATAACGTGCAGGGCGTGGGGCTGCCTGGCACAGAGAGGGTGTGCCGCTAGCTGCAGCTGGGTACTACTAACCAGCGTCCAGCTGGAGCTGGATGGTGACCCGGCTGAGCACTGGTATACACAGCCGGGCGGATCGGGCCTGTGTCTTAGGTGAAGATAGACCCCCTCAGAGTCACGGTGATCTGCATCCCAGGGGCCCCCCTGAACCTGGGGGGTGCATTGTCCAAGCTGCTTAGTGTATAACTACCGTTTCATCCTGCCCAACAATTTATTAAGGATCCGCACAGACCGCACAGACCAGGGGCTAAGTGCCCCTGTTGGGGTCTGAGTCTCCCTGCCAGCCCACGTCCCTGGGCTCCGAGCAAATGTCCAGTCACATGCCACATGCCACATGCCACAGTGACAATGGCAGCTGGAGGGGTGGCCAGTGCTGCATTGTGCCTGCCCACCCCTCTGGGGCTGGAGGAGAGACCGATGATGGTGAGGGTGATGCCACCTCGTCAAGGAGAGGGCCACTGTGCAAGTCTCATACGGACATGGCCTCCGAGCTTAACCAGGAGCCTTGCAGATGAGAAAGAAAAGGCACAGAGAGGTTAAGCAACTTGCCCAAGGTCACACAGCCATAAGAGGCAGTCACTCTGTCTGACTCCAAAGCCCACAGGTCTGCCCCTTGGCCAGGTAGTGCCCCCACCTTGCCCACTGCCCCATTGCCCTTGCAATGTGAATGCTGC